TCTGTATGTACACCTGCAGGCCAGAAGAGGACATCCGGTCCCAGTATGGATGGTTGGGAGCCACCATGTGGTTGCTGGGAAACAAATTCAGGACCTCTGGAAGAGCAATCAGTGCTCTTAACTGCCGAGCCATCTTTCCAGCCCACAGAGCTCACTTTTTTTTTTTAACAAAAAAAAAATATATATATATATTTATTTTATGTGTGTGAATGTTTTGCATGCATACATGTTAAGTGCATGACATGTACACCTGGTGCTTGGAGAGGCCAGAGGAGGGCACTGGATCCCTTGGAGCTGGAGTTACGGATGGTGCTGGGAACTGAATCGGGGTCCCCTGCAAGAACAGCAAGTACTGTTAACCACTGAATAATCTCTCCAGCCCCTGGAATAGCTGCTGTTGTCATTGTTCTTCCTCCTCCTCCTCCTCCTCTTCCTCCTCCTCCTTCTTTTGATTGGGGGAAGGTTTTTATTGTGGAAAAGAGAGAGAGAACACCCAGGGGCATCTGGAGGAAGAATTCAGAGCAGAGAGGAAAAAGCAGGCTGGACATGGCCAGGGTTAGGGGTGGAGTTCATCTTTTAAAGTTGCATTTTAGAATGTGTGTGTGTGTGTGTGTGTGTGTGTGTGTGTGAGAGAGAGAGAGAGAGAGAGAGAGAGAGAGAGAGAGAGAGAGAGAAGGCAACTGTAGCAGGTTGGATCTTTCCTTCCACCACATGAGTCCTGGGTTGGCAGCACCTTCACTGCTCTGCATCTCGCCAGGCCTATGACTTGAGGCAAAGGAGCAGCTCCCATCCTCTGCAAGTAGATGGCTGCCTTGTCCCAGCAATGCCCGCTCCAAACAGCTTGGGGGGTGAGAGATGGCTCAGTGGTTAAGAGTGCTTCTTGCTCTTTTAAGTTCCCAGTATTCATATCAGGTAGATCTTGATGATCAGGTTCCCAGCATGCACACACATGGCACACACTTTTCTCATACATTAATAAAAAAATTTTTCAGAAAGTCATATTTCCTATTAGATGAGACGGGCTACGCTGAGGATGATGTGGCCATAGGCAATATTTTTTTTTTTATTAAAAAAAAAAAGAAAGAAAAATGAGTGTGTTTTTTCCCTACTGCATGCTTTTAGAGCCCTTGTCAAAAACATTCCAGCATACAAGGCAGCTCTACCTAGGCATTTTGCTTTTTCCTGGAGATAGGCTGTTACTCCGTAGTCCAGGCTGGCCTCAGATTCATGGAGCTCCTCCAGCCTCAGTCTTTCCAGTTCTGGCATTACAAGCACGTGCTACCGTGCCAGGCTACCACACTGTTTTGATCACTGTAGCTTTGTAGGAAGTTGTTAAATCAGCAAGTATGAGATCTCAAGTTTAATTCCTTATTTAAAAAAAAAATTCTCTGTGTATGAACATTTGTGTGTATGTGTGTGTGTAAATACACATATGGAAACCAGAGGCTGATAGTCATTGCTCACCACATTATTTTTCACTAAACCCGGAGCTCATCAATTTGTCTGGGATGGCTGGCCAGTGAGCCTCAGGAATCTGTCTCCTCTTTTCCAGTGCTGGGTTTATAAACACGTAACTGTGGAGCCTGCCTTTTATGGGGGTGCTGGGGTATTGAACTCAGGTCCTCATGCTGCATGGCAGGCGCTTCATGGACAGCTGTCTTCCGGCACAACACCAGTTTTGTCATTTGCAGTCCTGCATGAGTCTGGAGCTAGGGTTCCTGCTTCTGTATTCTATATTCCTGCTGGAACTGTGTTAGGGTTGTGACTCAGCCACCGTGGGGAGCACTGTCGTCCTGGCAGCGACATTTCCAGGTGATGTGACACCTGCTCTGTTGTTTTCGGTTCCTTTTAGCAGCACGTTATGGTTTTGGCTATTTGGCCGGCTTCCTTCAGATGTTTTGCTATCTTGTGATACTGAAGATGGGGATGTTTCCTTGGTTCCATTTACCCAAGGAAGCGAAAGGGCCTTGGCAGTAGAAGCAGCCAAGCAGCAGTAGGTCCTCAGGCTGGCTGGGGACCTACCTCCAGTGTATGATGAGGGGACATCACCTCTGCCGGATGATGGAGAGAGGAGTGGATCCTGCTGAGCTGCTGACTGAGAGGGGACCAATAGTCAGGCCCAGCATGGCACCTCAGGAGGACAACTCAAGTCACAGCCTCTGTGTCCACTCCCCTGGGGTAGGGAATTTGGAGAGAGAAGTGTAGAAGCATGCTAGACAGTACTGCTCAGTGAACCACGGCCCCTCCCCCTCCCCGGTTCTTATGTCTGTTTGTCCCAATGCCCAACACAGAAGTTCCTCCCTTGGGTTCTTTCATGGAGGGAGCATGTGGCCAGGGGCAGATGGTTAAGTCCTTTAGCGTGCCACACTTGACCTGGTAGACCCATATGGCATGCCTGCTGCACTACGGGACAAGGATGAGACCCCTCTCCACCTGGAGGATGACCAGGGAACACAGTACAGCCAGTGCAAAGGCCCTGTGGCCCCAATGCATCCAAGGCATGGGTGGGAGTGAGTCTCCCCAAGGATGGCCTTAGAGCGGACTCCCTGGCTGGAGTGATCCAGTGGGGTATAAAAATCATTTGCTAATAGAGCTGGGGGGTACCCCCAGCCTCCAGAAGGGGAGCTTTGGCAGTATATGTATAATGGGGGCCTACGTCTATCAGAGGAAGAAACCTGTGCATGGCATCATGATCAGGACTTCAGGTTCCTGTGTTATCCTTAGTGAGTAGGCATCTGGAGTGATGGACTCACCACTGTCAGGACCCATCTACCCTGGGGTGAGAGGTCTCTCTGAGTAGGGTTGGGCCAACCACAGTTGGAGCTGCTAATTCTCTTTGGTGGGTCTCTAAGGCCACCACCAACTAACATGATGACCAGGGTCTGTGGGACAGTGATGAGCCTGGCTCTGTGTTTGTCAAGGGAAGAACTGACCACTGAGATCCATACCAGCTTGTCCACTTTGACTCCTGCTGGGTCCTGCTGGCCTGAGGCCAACGCTGTGTGCCAGTGTCATCAGATGGACACTCCCTGTGTCCCCCACTCAAAGTGGCACTACTGGTGCCCTCACCCCACTTCCAGAGTGGCTCATGACAGCAGGTACCACATGGGGTTGTCTGACCTCGGGACAGTGTTAGTCTGTAAGAATCGATATGCAGCTGGGCATGATGGTGCGTGCCTTTGATCCCAGCTGAGTTCAAGGTCAGCCTGGTCTACACAGACCCTGTATCAAAAGAACAGACAGACAGACAGACAGACAGACAGACAGACAGACAAAGATGTCAGTGAACCTCCCTGAGTTACACAGTGTAACTCTATAGTGTGAGCAAATCCAGAAACAGGAAGAGGCACAGGACTCAGGAAGGGTGGCATCTGGGTGAAGATGACATTCTGGAGCCAGCAGGGGCCCAGCTCCTACCTGTCCTCTGATTGCAGTCTGTCAGATCCTGTCTCTCTTACAAGAGAGGCATGCCCATGGCTTCTGGTTGCCCAAAGGCCTGGCTCCCTCCCACAGCTCTTGTCCCCTGAATAGGCCCCAACACTGTTTTTAGCTCTGCTGGACCTGCTGCCCCTCCCCAGGATCCTTGGGAAGGAGGGGCACATGGCTGGACCAATGCCCAGATGTATGTATCTGCAGGCCAGAGGCTTCTCCTGCTGAGCCCTGGGGATGGTTCTGGGAAGCTGGCAAGGGCATGGAGGGCTCACGGTTAGGTCCAGCGTGGGCACTTAGGTGCCACTCTTGTGGGTCACCAGACTACCCAAGCAGCTGCTGTCCCTGCTGACAGCCCCCACCCCCATGTCTACCGCGAGGGGCATGAACAGGACGCCCCCAGGAAGGGCTGCTCAGGCCTCAGGCTGCCAGTCACTCCTGTGGTGGTCATGGCAGACTTGCTGGCTCCAGTCTCATTTCTCTGAGGCTTGTCTGTCCCTGACACACACAGGGTGCCCTGTTTTCTTGGGAGCTGGAACACGGGCTCTCTGTTTGCACCTGGGCTGGCTGTTCCCCGTCCCCCACAGGCTGAGGGGGTGCTCTGCACAGACCACACTTGTGCCCCCCTCAACTAGCCTCCTCAGCTGAACCTTTTCATTGTGCCTTCTGGGATCCTCTACAGTGTGGCCCAGGGGCGGGGAACATGGGCTCCAGACACTGGGCTTGGCAAGAAGGGGGCTGGGGAAGTGTTCCTAGAGTCCCTGCCGTCCTTGTAGCCAGTGAGCCTGGGAGGTTCTGTCCATCCCGTGAAGGGAAGCCTTATGCATTCCCGGCCAAGGTCCCTACTGACATGGCTCTGCTGGGCCCTCCACAGGTCACCCACGTGAGGCTGGCCTATGGCCACAAACTGGACACGGGGCTTCTACCCAGGCTTTCCACATACCACTACACTAGAGTGTGCAAGGGACCCATGAGCTCCTGTTTCTGTGTGTGTGTGCCCAGGTGGTGTGTAAGGGGTCCTGCGGAGGGACCAGGCTGAGGACAGCAAGCCTCCTTTCCCTCAGGGAGATGGCGGTGATGATTTTGTGCTGCCACACTGGCCTTGTGATGAAGACTCAGCTCTGGGCCTACGAGTGTGTGCCTGATGTACTCATAGGCCCGGAGCTGGTCAGGTCAGGGAATCTGAGGACCCCTGGGGTTGCTGCCGTAGCTCAGACCAAGAAAGGGTCGTCCACATATGGGCAGTGGCCTCCTGTGACGTGAATGCAGGCAGCAGGGCGGTACTGGAGACAGGGTGGGTGGGTGCCCGTTTAGGTAGAGGATGAGAGGAATTGGTGCTCCGAAGCTAAAGGGGAGACCCGGTGCCGTGGCACCCCACAGTGTGGTCACATGCAGGGCATGGGGTTGATCAGGCTTTTCTCTATAACAGGGAAGGGATAGCAAGGTGCTGAGGACAGAGGCAGGAGGCTGACAGTTATGGAAGCACAGCCATTTTCAGTTCTCTTCTTGGCAGGACCCGTGGTCCTGTGTGGGACCCGTGGCCACAGCAGAAAGTACAGGCAGAAAAGCAGTTAAGTCTCTGGTCTTTATTTCAGGGATGTGTGTGGGTGAGGTTTTGGCAGTGGCCACTCCCGAGACCTAAAGTAGTCCTTCAAATCCTCGAGGCGGAGTGGGGGGAAGTAAGGGCCGATCCGCTTGCGTATCCACCACTTGCCCTGGGCAGCGTGCTGGCCACTCGGGGGGCTGAACCGGTACCGGTAGTGTTCTCCTCGAATCCACCTGCAGGGGACAACGGGTCAGCCTGCTGTCTCTTTGCTCCCCTCGGGCTCCTCTGCACCCCAGAAGGCAGGCCTAGGCCCCTGCAATCCTTGGGTGGAACCCCATCAGCCTCATGATCAAAACCTTCCCGGGCCCGTTACAAATCTGGGATGTGAAACAGGCACATTTGGTCACCTGTGATGGCGCAAACTACATCTTCAGACTTGAGGGACGGCCTAGGTGATGCCGTCTCCATGATCCACCCTCTCCAACTTGTCCTACCAGGGTTGCGCAGGACACAGCAAGCCTTGTGATGGGACCAGGGAGAGACATGCTGCCACCTTTCCTTCTTCTGGTGTACAGACCTGAGTAGGCAAGGGTCCCTGAGGGGGGTACTGGTGGCCAGTGTGGGGGTCCTGAGCAGACCCATGCTGGACTCCATAGGTGATCATGGAGAGGGTAAGCCTGTGCCTTAGAAATTGTCAGAGGGTCCCTCTTCTGAATCGGGGGTCCTGATCCTGAATTTCACAAGGCTGGTGAGGACAGGGATGAAGGCTTCTGGGAAGGCACCTGCTGCGTGATCACTCTGTTTTCTGAGTCGGCCTTCTCGCTTTCATTTTCTTCTCAAGATATAGTTGAAGATCTAGGGCCTGGAGCAACTTACAGCCAAAGGGTGTGAGGTCCTGGCTCAGGTGCCCAGTGTTGGGCCTTGGAGGTTGAGGGGAAGAGCCGGGGGCTCGTGCTTTCCCTGGTGGGTCCTTGAGGGTACTGAGGAGGACTGGCACCAGCCCTGGAAACTTCTAGAACCTGGCTGGGCTGGTTAGTTTTGTTTTGTTTTTTTATCAATGTGACACACAAACCAGTCACTGGGAGGAGGGGGAGGGGACCTCAACTTCTGAATAACCTCCATCAGACTGACCTACAGGTGTGTCTGTGGGAGCATTTTCTTGATTAATGATGGACTTGGGAGGTCAGCACAGGGTGCGAGGTGCCACTCCCAAGCGTGTGGCCCTGGGTCATAGAGGAGAGCAAGCTGGGCAAGCCATGAGGAGCAAGCCCGTGGGTAGTGCTCCTCCGTGCTGTCTGCTTCAGGTTCTGCCTCCACTTCTGCCCCTGAAGCTTCTGCCTTGGCTTTGCCTTGATGATGGCGCATGACCTGTAAGCTAGAACACGCTCCGTCCTTCCCCAAGTTGTCTTGGGCTTGGGTATTTATAGCAATGGGTGGCAAGCTAGGACACTGACCGAGGTAGGGTGTTTGAGACCAGACTCAACAGGCAACAGCTTCTGAAACTATGGTAGGATACCCCGGCCAGGACCTGACACTCCCAGCAGGACATCCTGTCTTACCAGCCCTCCCTCACTATCTGTGCTCTTTTGGTCTTTGAAATGGAACTGTACAGCACGTGGCCTTCAGAACCGGCTGCTTCCGCCCAGCACGGCCTTCTAGAAGCTCACAGGCGCTGGAGACCTCGTGCTGCTGGGCAGGAAGCAGTGTCCACAGCAGGAACACCTTGAGGCAGCCATGTCTTGCGGTCTGCCTGGGCCTCCTGGGGAAGGACAGTTGTACCATTTTCAGCTCCCATGACTGTGGGGGTTTTGCAGGGATTGGTCTTGCTGAATGGGGTTAAATGGCTGTCCATGAGCCTCGTGGTTGGGTTCAGCTCAGCTTTCATTTTCTAGGACCCACTGAGCCATCCCCCAGGGAGGCCGTGCCGCTTGCCTCCCCGGCAGCCCTGGCAGTGCCCTGATGGCTTGATGGTATTCAGGACATCACTGCTCCATGTTTCCAGTGAGCCGAAAAGCATGGTGGTGCCTCTCCTTCAGTCTCATGGAGCCTCCTGCTTCTCCCACACACCTTGCTCGCCCCACATGGGTAGCACACGTGGTGACAGCTAGTGCTGCTGCTTGGTGGTGCTGTGTTTCAGGTGCCTGATGTTTCACACTGTGCTGCTGCGAGAGGAATGACAGGCTCCCACCACAACTGCGGGCCCGCCGCTTCCTCTTCCGACTCTGCCATCTTCTTCACACAGTTTGCGGCGTTGCCATGGGTCTGTACGCTTTAGTGAGGAAGGCTTCTGCAGGCCTTGCCTCTGATAAGCTACCTGCGCTGAGGTCATTCTTACTATTAGCGTGTCTTTCCCCGTCATTGTACTTCCTACTTGCCCATATCGGTTTGAGGTGAGCCTCCGTGTGTGTATGTACAACACGGGTGCCTGATGTCAGAAGAGGACTGGAGTAACAGATGATTGCTAGGCACATGCGGGTTCTGGGACTCAAACTTGGGTCCTCTGCAAGAGCAGAGAGTGCTCTGAACCACTGAGCCATCTTTCCAGCCTCTTCTTCTTCCTCATTATTATTTTAGTGATTTTTTTTTTGAAGGCTGGGGACATAGATCAGTGGGTCTATGATCCCCAGAACCCACATTAAAAAAAAAAAGCCGAGAACAGTGGTGCACACTTGTAATCCCAGTGTTGGGGAGGCGGGAGGAAGAGGATCCCTAGGGCTCTCTGGTCAGCCAGCCTTGCTGAATGGGTGAGATCTGGATCTCGATGGCAAGGTGGTGGCTCTGGCTCTGGTTGCTCAGTCCCCTCACTGTCTACTGTGCCTTAGTCTGCATCGCCCCAAGATTTGCCATCTGGGTCCCCATTGCTTATTGACCTTTCAGGTCTGTGTCTTTTGCCAACTTTGGGAAATCTTCACTAATGCCTTCCCAGGAAGGGCTCTTCCCCTCGGGACTCTGCAGACACCCAGTCTTGATCTTGTTGCTATCCTAGACCCCAGGCTCTACCCAGACGCTCGGCTGATTGCCTACATAGGTCACTGCTGATTCCTCCTTCACATCCCAGCTCTTCCTCCCATCCTACAGGGGCTATGCTCCTTTGTTCTGAGTCTCCCCCGCTCTCCCTGCCTTCTGTTTCTTTGCTGACTCTTTTAATGTGTGCTGTGTTCGTAATGGCCGCACGATTGCTGTGGGGAGAATCAGCTGTTGTCATCCGCCGACTGGCTTTTCCTGATCAGTTCAATGTCTTCCTGGTGTGCTTGGGAGTTGGAGGTCCCAAATCATATCCGAACCTTCTGTTGTGTGGCTTCTAACTCCATGCTAGAAGCCCAGACTTTCTCCTTTGACCCTGGCACAGCCAGGGGAAGGTGGCAAGCTAAGGCCTCTACCAAGAACATGAACCCAGGCTGGCACTGCTTGCTGTGGTGAGTGTCTGGGACACTACAAGGCCTTCCAGCAGTTCAGTGAGTGGCCTCCTTTTTCTCAGAGTGGACCATGTGCTCCAGGCTCTTCCTGCTCAGTGGGGCCATTTGCCTTGTGGCTTTGGCTGGAGAAGAGGGGGCTCGCTGTAGCCTCTGCCTCTTCAGTAGCTCCTTTCTGGGTATTTGCTGCTGCTGTTGAAGGTTGATGCTAGGGTCCTGGAGTCCCTCGCTAGGTCCCCTCCCCCAACTGTTAAAAGCTCCCACGTTCATTTTATGGGCAGCACCCAGGCTCAGCGCCTGATCCATCCTCCCACCATTTCACCCCCCATTTCAGAGAAACCACAGCTGGCAGAGGGGTCAGGCGGAGGTCATCAAGCAGAGTGTGATGATGGCCCCTCTGCTGGTCTGTGCCCTTTGGCATTTACTGTAATTAAACTGCCTTGAACATGTATTAATAGCGAATATTGATTTATTCCTGATTCCCACAGAAGGCAGCCAGGCTCGTATCTTCACATTCACAGTATCTGCCTGCAGGGTTTGTTCCCACAAGATACACCTGACCACATCCTCAGAGCCTCTGGCTGAATCGGGTGATCTTGTCCTAAGCCTAGGCCTTCTGCCTATCCCTGGCTGGTGGGACACAAACCCAAGACAGCAGCCAGGAGGTTGGTCAGCAAAAAGCTTTCCTGAGTGTGGAAGGACACAGCTCTACGCCAGAGATGTTCGGCTACTGGCAAACCCAGGAAAGTGTGTCCAGTTCAGTGTGTACCTAGTTCAGATCTCCCGGTGGCTTTGGGGTGCTGGGCAGAGGGGGGTAGGGGAAGAAGGGGAGTGAAGCTGGTGGTCTCCGGGGAGGGATATCCTGACATCCCCAGTGCCACAGCAGGCAGCGTGCAGAGAGGCACTTGGCTGGATCCCTTGCCTGGGCTGCCATACTCGCAGCTGCTCAGTGCCCCGAAGCGCCCCTCCCAGCAGCCTCGACAGCTGTGGGCAGCTCCAGGTGCAGCTGTCCTGAGGCTTCTCCAGGGAGAGACAGGACCATGTTTTCCCGTCAGCATCAATGGTGGGCAGGACACAGGGCTGGGGGCGGGGGGCATGGGGCCAGTTCAGGACTGTGCAGTCTCCTAGCCTCTGGTTGCTACTGAATTCCACATCCTGTATCAGGGTGCCCAGCCCGGGCCCAGCTGACCACGCACTGAGTGGATAAGGAGACTCTTACCTGGGGGGAGTCCTGCCCTCAAAGGGATTGAGGGCCACCAGGGACAGGGCCTCAGCGTCACCAGCTAGGAGTTTACCCGCCAGGTGAATGATCCACTCATTTTGCTCATACGTCTGGAAGGACAGTGTTCTTCGTTAGGTCAGGTCTGGGGACAGCCATTCCCCGGTAAGCTGGCACTCGCCCTGGTGCAGCCCCTGCCCGATCACTCTGCACACCTCCTCCCCCCTGTGCCCCACAGCCTGGCTGCAGTGTGGTCAGTTGTGCCAGAAGTAGGTTTCCTCTGAGGGCCCACCCTTCAACCTCCCAGGAACTGCCTGCTTCCTGCTCTCTCTGGGGGAGGGGGGCTCACCTGAAGGTCACTCCCTCATGAACCAGCCCTCAGCTGTGTCATCTATGTGGCGACTTGCCCTAGCATTAGGTGTGACTGTGAGAGGGACGAGGACAGAAGGTGTTGGATCCCACTTGACAACAGGACTGGCCTGGGCCTTGGGAGAGCCGAGCTATCCACAGGAACCTTTTCCAGGCAGGTCTAGGTCAAGGCAGGGCCTGTCTAGTGCCTTGGGTGGGATGCACCTCTGAGGAGAGGTCCTCCTCCTCTATGACCCTCCTGGTGGGAGTCTGAGCACCTTCTGCAAAGAGCATGCGTGCAGGGCTTGTCTGGGGGAAGGGGAGTGTTCGCTTCAGGTCAGAGCCCCATGGCAGGTGGGGCATCATTACCTGGAAAGCTGCGAACCACATTAGCCAGTCCAGGCGGTAGTGGTAGGGAGAGATGAGGCATGGCCGCCTCCAGGGGTCGCCTGGTTTGCACTTGAACTCGTAGTCCTCCCACACCGCATCAGGCGCACTGGCATTGGGGCTAGCTGTGCCTTGCAGGATTACCTCAGTCCGTTCCTTGGTGATGCTGGGAGAGATGGAGAAGGCCAGTATGTCCACGGTATCTACCTTCCCCAGCTGGAGAGGGTGATGCCGTGAGCCCATGCTTCCCAACAGGGAGTCGGCTGGACAAGAGGGTGGAGCCCAGTGCCCCAGGTAGGATGCCTGGCCCATACCTTCCAAAGGCCCCGTAGGTATTGACGATCCTGAGTGGGTTGAAGGAGGTGTTCATGACCTGCCTGGAGCTTAGTAGGTTGATAACCACAGGCACGCTGAGCCAGGCCACCAGGATGCCCAGGGAGACGTTGACCACTCGCCGCACCAAGCAGCCTAGCCCGAGGGTGGGGGTGCGGTGGTTGGTTCTCACCAGCTAGGCTCCTGATCCCAGGGCAAAGCTGTGCTATCCTTTCAGAAAACCTCGGCTGCTGTTCTGCCACTGCGGGCTCAAGAAGGCCTGCAGACATACCCAGCTGGCCTTGGAAGCTGCTGCCTCCCAACCCGTGGGCTTGGAAAGGTGCCTCGAGCCAAGAGCACCTCCTGAAGCCAATGTGAAGTATTTAGTGTGACTGTCTATCAGGGCACCTTGGAAGTAGCTGAAGGGTCAACTACTGGCCGGGACAGTAGATGCTCCTTCTCAGGGCCTATGGCACCCATCCCCTGCCCAGTGCTGTGGAGCTGGTGGCTACCCAACCTTCCTACAGATTCATGAGACACAGGCACGAGGGTCATGGGCTGGTATGTGTTGCTGGGTGGAGGGGAGCGGTGTTCCTGGTTTACCTACCATATCTTGGCTTGGGCTGGACCCCTTGTGTATCTTCTCTCTGCATCTCCAGCACTTGGTTCTTTAGGCCTTGAGGTCCTGAGGGAAATAGGAATCCCAGAGCTGCATCATCGAAGCAGGCGAGGCTGGGCACGATGGTGAGCCAGTTCAGGAAGCTCAGATTCCCACTGATGATGAGGATCACCTGTAGGTGCAGATGCACACTATGGTACGCCTGGGACCCAGGGCTCCTCCCTCTGTGTGTCTGCGCTGGGTGCCCATGCTTCAGTGGCCCAGCAAACGCTCCAGAGAGGCTTCCGAGCCCCCTGCTGTCCTCCTCTCAGCTTGGGGCTGTGATCCCAAGTCCTCTCTAAATGTGCATGTCTCACTGAAACGTGCTAGGTGCTACAGGAATTGGCAAGCACAGGAAAGGCTGGGGAGGGTTCGGCTAGACCTATCTGTGTGGCCTGAGCATACTGGACTCCCTGGGATGTCCCATGGTGGCAACTCTGGTTGAGGTAGGCCTAGTGGCAGGGGCTTGAGGTACAGCCTGTAGGTGGGGGAGGGGGGCATGAGAACCTACAGCTCACTGGAGTTCATGAAAAACAAAACAGCAATAGGAGACATCACTATGAGCTGGGGCAAAAGATAGTGAAGTGATTGCCACAAATGCCCTCGAGACCTGGAGGACAGTGGCAGCTGACCGGGAGTCATGAACGAGAGGGACAGAGGCTGGGGTGTCTGGCTTCAGCCTGTATCTTTAAACCGACTGACTGGACATATGGATGAAATGGCAAAACACGCCTGTGCAGTGCACAGCTCAGTGGCTTGCAGCAAGGTTTGCACCTGCGTGGTTACACTAGCCAGACACCTCTACCCAGAGACGTTCCATGGAGCCTGACAGCCGGCTCTCTCAGGCTTCACAGAACATGAGCCACAGGGTAGCTTCTAGGAGGCAGTAGAAGGTCACCGTATAGGGACGACGTCTACCTCAGAGTCCTTGCCTGCGCTCCTGCAGCAGGCACAGTAGGCACCGGCAATGGCGACCCCTGGACTAGCTTCCAAGATGGCCACAGGGCTTCCCACTCCCACGAGTGGGGCTGGAGGCTGTGGCTCCGCGTTATTAACATATGGTGCTGCCGTGTCTCATCCTCTTCTCTCCCCCTGAACGCTCGGGCGCCTCATTTCTGGGCACGCGCATTTCCTAGCATCCCTTGTTGGCTACTTACCCCACAGTCACAGCCTGCCCACCTTTTTACTGGGTGGTTGGAAGGTTTAAATTTTTCAAGTTTACAACCAGTGCCTTCTACCCCTGCTGAGAAGCCTCCACAGTGAGACTCCTGTGAGCTCAGGGCCAGTTACTTCTTCCCTCCCTTTTAGCTATTCATTGTGGATGGACATGGCATAGCCGTTGGACAGACCAGTTCTGCTGAGGTCTAGTATGACCCAGACGGCAAAGAGGTGGGGTGAGATGAGGGGTCCCCTGATGGGAAGGTGGTGGAAGAGGCAGCTTTTAGTTCCTAGAGTCGGAGCGAGAAGTGAGAAGCTGGTTGAACCATGCCTGGGGAGCCCGGGGGACAGAGAAAGGCTTAGGAGAGCTCCTGGGGGTCTCGGTAGGATCAGGATGGTCCCATGGCTGTGGATTGCTACTGTGACTATGGCAGCAACAGAGTGTGGCAGCTCAGAGCCGAAGCTCCCTCGTACCAATGGAGAAAAGCCTGGGTTCCCTGGGGTATGGTAGGAGCCATTTAGGTGACTGTGGAAGACATCTAGGCATCCCTGTCTGTCCCTGAAAGCCATGCCAATTACCCTCTGTGGCTGGCCTGGCCTGCAGAGTAAAAACCTCACTGGAAAGCCGGATATTCCTTTCATATGGGTCTGTCCCTTCTTGAGGTGCTAGTGAAAGAGCCCAAGTGGTTCCGACTTCTCTCTACTTTCTGGTCCTGGATTGACTGGACCGTGATGTGCATCTCATTCAGACAGGTACAAACAAGGCCAAAGCAGGCCAGAGGCCAGAGCCAGCATGGCTGGTGAAGAACAAATGGCCTAACTTTCATCAAAATGTGTCTCACGGCACCAGGGTCTAGTACACTTGGCAAAGCGAACTCTCATAGACCCTCTTCCCCCTCAGGGGTTTCAGCAACTGAGACCTGTGTATGACATTTGTACTGTGACATGGTTTATCCTTGATGGCAGGAGTGACCTCATAGGTTATCAGGACTCACCCTGAACTGGCTCTCCCAGTCATACACTGACCCACACAACACGACTCTGTGTCTCCCTCCCTTCCCCACTGCCTCCCTTAAATATCCACACACGAGTCAAGGCTGGGAAGGGGACCACAAGGCTCGCCAGACAACATTTCCTCAGTCTCTATGTGGCCAGCTTCGTCGAAACACTATTATATGGACTCTGGCGCCCAGATGTGTGCTGTTCTTTCTCCCCCGGCAGAAACTTGAGACATGCATTACTTCCCAGCACCTAAAGGGGCCAGCACCGGCAAACTCCCCACCTCGCTAGTATTCTAGAGCTCCTATGTCCACAGCACCCCAGGAGCCCAGCACATGGTATCCCAGGAAGGTGACCAGCCTCAGGTCTAACCTGCACCTGTGGCTTTTTGTGCTTTTGTGATCTGTGCCTTTATTGTCCCCAACCAGGGGGACTTGAGGGAATGACTTGTTCATGTTCCCTACTCTAGGACTCCTTTCATGTGAGCCAGATAACGCTGTGAACGGAACACATTTAAATGAATGTGTGAGAAGAAGCTCAGGAAGTCACAACCGGAACAGGCTTGAAGAAGCAATACAGGTCCTGATACCATTTCCAAAACCTACGAGAAAGACACATTGCGCAGAAGAGCAGGACGGGAGTGACAGTCACCTGCACATGGTATACCGGAGCAGGGACAAAGGCGACGGTCAGCCGCTCAGCTGGAGTGGTGTGTGATAGAGAACGGGGAAGGACACCCTCCTAAGATAACAGAAGAAGCTGTCAAGCAGCTAGGTGTGGTGGTGCGTGTCTCAGAACTCAGGAAGTGGAGGCAGGAGGGCTGCAAGTTCAAGGTTAGCCTCAGCCTCATGATGAAGTCTATCTTAAAAAAAAAAAAAAAAGTGAGCTGGGTGTGGTGGTGCATGATTTTAAACCCAGCACTGACGAGTCTGAGGCAGAGCTGGTCAGCCAGCTCTACACAGTGAGACCCAGTCTTTAAAGAAAAAAGTGAGAGATAACCATGAAGAGAACTCTGGTAAATGGAAAATGTAAAAAAGAAAACGAAGCACTCTTCAGACAGGGCCGGATTTCTCTGTGAGCTTGGAGCTTTCCAGTGCGGAGTACTAAAAAGGTGAAATGCATATTAAAATTTAGGTCTTTGGGGCTTGGAGAAATGGCTCAGTAAAAAAGCGCACTCTCTGCTCTTGCAAAGACCCGACTTTCGCCCAGCACCCATGTCACGTGCCTTAGGATTCGACATCCTGTTCTGGACTCAGTAGCATGGGCACTCACACAGGAACAACCCCATCCCCACCGTATACACATATTTTAAATTTTGAGTCTTTAAAAATTTTTACAATAATGAAGAATGCATGATGATTGTTACCACCGAAAACAATTAGCCTGTAACAAAGAATGTTCTTGAGACAGGAGGGTCTCTAGGCCCAGGCTGCCCCCAAACTCCCAAACTTCCTGTGTCTGCCTTGAGTGTGAGGGTTACAGGCCTGTGCTGCGTGCTTGGCTTACTTTTGACATAACAGAACAATCATAATATGTGGGGGCCTGGGTAGGCTGAGGTGCATGGCTGATGAAGCTTTGTTTCTGGGTGTCTGTGCGGTGGTCCAGAAGAGAAGCATTTGGAACACCAGCCAGAAGATGACTGCCCTGCCCAGTGCACTGGGCATCACCTGCCCACCAAGGGTCTGGAAAGAACAAAGGCTCCAGGAAAGGCATATCTCCTCTACCTGATCTGGATATCCACCTCCTCCTGCTCTGGCCTGTGGGTGTTCCTGGTCCGTGGATAAAGCCAGGGTGAAGACAACTTTCCTGGTTCCTGGTCCTTGTGTTTGGACTGGGACCAGACTACCAGCCTTCTTGGTGGCAGATCCTAAGACTTCCCAGGGGGCAACAGGCTGGGTTGTTGCTCTCCTCTAATCTGTGTGCCCTGTTGGTTTCTCCTCTGTTCAAGGAACCTCCCAGGTTGGCTTTCAGGGGCTTTCTTTTCCCAATTATATATATGTATTTTTTCATAGAAAGCAAGGTGTAGAGAAGTGTTGTTGGGCTCTCAGGGGGCGCCCAGCTACTGCTGGGTTATTGGGGCATGCAGTTTTAGAATCTGTTGCCTTGAAGGCTGTAGTCAGCACCTTCTTGGAGGGACAGGAGGACAGATGGTGAAAACACTAGTCACTGTTTTCCTTCTGCCTGTAGACACCTCAGGCTATTCAAATCATCTCTAGCTCCCAAGCAGGGAGGTTGCAACTCAACGCCTTGAGGTGAGGCTGTGGCTGAGCGCTCTGCTGCAATGCCATGTCCACCTTTTGCAGATGTTTGTCGGCCTTTGCTCTGGTGAGGCTGGGGTGATGTCTATGGCCATGAGCCAGGGGTTCGTAGTCCCCAAGGGCAGAGTCAGTGATCTGAACTGCTGATGGCCTAGAACCCTGCATTGCATGAGGCTTCCTCAGTTGCCTGGACGGCCATGGATTCACACCAGGGAGCTCTGAATGACATCGCCCCACCCTGGAGCGCATGGCCTTGTTGTGGAAAAGTCTACAAAAGCAGCTTAAGGAGGGAAGGGTTTGCCTCATAGTTCGAGGGCATACAGTCCACCATGGAGGGGAAAGCGTGGCAGTGGGAACCGGAGGTGGCTGGACACACTATGGCTGCAGTCAGGAAGCAGAGAGAGACGAAGGTGTGCAGCTCTCTTTTCTGCCTCTTCCTGTTTCCCACAGTCCGGGCCCCCCTGTGGGATGGTATGACCCACATTCAGAGCGGTGGGTCTTCCCTCCTCAATGGATGCCCTCCGAAACACCCTCACAGACACGCCCAGGGTGTGTCCGACAGAGTGGTTCTAAATCCAGCCAAGGTGATGGCACAGGTTAACTGTCATCAGGTGAAGTCCCGTTTCTAATAAAGCACCGAGGAGAGCCTGTGACACACTGCCCAGGAGGACGGATGGTGGCCGTGCTCAGGGGTCAGACCTGCTCAGCCCACGAAGTTCAGAATCCCCTCCCTGCACAGCCTATTTGTTCAGTAAGGCTGGAATCCATCACGCAACACACGGTCCAAGTGCTCCAAAGGGACCTTATCTTTCTTGTTTTCCTTCTAGCGTCACTGCAGCCATCTCCTCTGAGGGAAATGAATCTCGTCACAGCCCATCTGTGTTTACCCCTGGCCGGCAGAGTCCTCAACGAACTCTCAGTGTGCTCTGCAGATGACCGGCTTGGAGCACGGCCCTCCCAGTGCTGTGGAGCGAGCGGGTGAGGCTGGGGGACGGCGGGAGATGAACGTGTGTTGGAATTTAGCCCCAGAGAGGTTACAGCAGATGTTCCGGGCAGATGCAACATGACCCCAAAAGGAAGAGGGGGGATTTCTGGATGTCCCTGATGGGCTTGTAGTTACCACAGAGGACACACACTTGCAGGCAGGTTTCCACAGGGAGGCTGGAGCTTGACAGGACCTTCCAGGAAACATGTATGTGGTCACAGGGACCTTCCACAGAGGGCGCGCATGTGGTCATAGAGGCAGAGGGCATGCAGGTAGTTACAAAGACCTTCCACAGAGGACATGTATGTAGTCACAGGGACCTTCCACAGAGGAGACCTGTTTGCTCTTAAGGCATCTGGATAGCCTCATGTGGCCTTAACAGAGAAGTCAACCTCAAAAGCTGCCTCTCCCAAGACCTTCTCCTGCCTTCCTACTGCTGAGCCTCAGGCCCAACCCTACCTCCTTCTTGTTCCTTGGTGGAGACTGATACCATGGTGGGCCTCAGATGTCCTGACCTGGCTCAGCAGCGGGGGCTGATCATACCGCCTCTTCCGGGGTCATCCCCTCAGAGCTCTTCGGCCCTTCCCACGTGATTCCTGCGGCCTTGCAGGGATCCTAGGAGCAGCTGTGTAAACGTAGTGTGGGAGGAAGTGAGTGAACTCAAGTTCTGCCTGGCCCACAGGAAGGAACACAGGAACCAGTGGGTCAGGAGGCAGAGCAGCTCCACGCTAGGCTGGGCTCAGCTGCCACAGGGTGGCCATAGCACTGCATGGTAAAGAGCACACCCAGTCACTCCCAACACCTTTCACAGGGGCTCTTGGCATGGTGAAGACCATGCCCGGACTCACCCCAGTCCTATACTCAACTCTGTTTGGTGAGCAGGAAGAGTCTCAGCTGGATCTTCGGGGACATCAAACCAGGCCTAGGGAAAAGCCATAGGCTTGGACAGCTCTATTCTCTTCTGGACACAGTGTGGCTAGTTCCACGTTCTCCACTATGAGAGTCAGGTGGAAACTGCTAGCCAGGGATCCCCTACTGACAGAGCAAATGCTAGGGGATGCCTTGCTGCCTCTGCAAAGACTACAAGGAGTTAACAGTGGCTGGTAGCTCTTTGGAGGGTGTGGTGTAGGCTTCTTCATTTTCTCCCATGTGGGAGTTGTTGGGAGAAGCTTGCTGCACAGCGCCTTGTACTCAAGGAGGAGGAGATTCCAGAACCCCAGGAGACCCCAGTACCCAAGGCATCTGCTATGCTCAGAGGAGGACTCTTGATACCTGTCTTTGGCTCCTGTGCAGCCGAGGCTCTGCAGTATCAAGGCAGCCTCTGCAAAAATCCCACAGGGCTTAGTGTGGAACAGATGTGCCTGACTCGGCCCTCACTCCCCGAGGCTCTGGGTGACATTCTAGAAGTCCCAGCCTAGGCACCAACTACCTTTCTAGCCACATAGGTCCAGGAGCGTCCTACCACTCTATCCAGCCTTACACCTGGGTCAGACCAAGATAGAAACACACCCAAGGCTATGGTTCTTCTGCCATGTCTGGTCCATCCAGCTGGATGGTCCTGCTGCCTAGGCAGGGTCGGGTCTGGGTCTGGGGATCTTTTTGTCATCCCAATATTGGCACTGTCTGTGGCCTCTGGAAGATGTGTGGGAAATAGGCACTCCATGGGGATGTCGGCTCTGAGAAGATATGGGTAGTTAAGCTGTAGGGAAATGCAAGGAGCTTCAAACACATGACTAAGAGAAGCTGGCTAGAGAGGCGACACACTGTGGTCCTGACTCTGAGGTGCTTGGGGAAGACTGGAGGCCAGAGGTCAGTGTGGAGGAAGATGAACCAGTGTTCACCAAGGACTCTCAGGGGAGGAAGGTGTGACGGTGATGGTGCATAGACATTCTCTATTGTCCAAACCCAAAGAACACTCTGTGGACTTTGGTGACTCATGTGCCATCACTGCACCATGTCTTGTGCCCATCAGTGTGAAGTATACATGGTGGGGACTTGGAGCACAAGGAATTTTCTGGGATCCCTGCCCGGATTCTAGAAGTACCCTGATTAAAGTACAAGACAAAAAGGAATTAACATATTGGAACACCGAGAGCTGGTGAACAGGTAGGGGTCAGAGACAGTTTAGCAGCCAAAGGTCACCGTGGCAAAGGTGACAGTGAGGCTCAAACATCTGCTCGTAGTCAGTCCTGATTTAAATACAGCCCTGCATAGAGGCAGAGGACATGAGGAGGAGGAGAGCTAGGTGCACAGATCCAAACTCTGCACTGAGGAGAACGTGATGCCCTCGGTCCCCTTTTACGAATACATTCAAAAACAGCTGAAACAGACATATTTATTCCCAGGAAAATGTTGATGCCAAGGCTGCCTCTAGAAGGTCACCCCAACAGCCACAGGCCCAGCAACTACAAAGCTCTCAAAGCTTCACTCAGAAGCGCACTCAGCATTGCCCAGGCTCCTGAGAACAGGCTGCCTGGGTCTCCATGGACCCGTCAGAGAGAGAGGAACTTAGCTTTTGAATGTGAGGGAGTGAGCCCAGACAGGGAATCCACACTCGGCACACATTATGCTGGAAAACTACAGACAGGCCTCCCTCACTGACAACCATGCAAAATCTAAAACAAAACACTGGCAAATTAGCCCCAGCAATATATTAAAATATCCACAGCATGACCAAGCTGAGTTTATTCTAGAATATGAAACTAGCTCAACCCGGGCATCAGTAATGTAATTCATCTCATTAACATGTTGAAGGGGACCCTCTCCTGGCTGACGGGAAAATGTCAGCTATGGCCAACATCCATTCATGACTGAAAGTGGGAAGGCCAAAACCACAAGATGATCCCAGTCTGGTGGTGCAGGCCTGTCACCCCTGCTGCTGGGGTGGCTGAGGAAGGAGCATCCATAAATTTAAGAGCAGCCTGGACAACTTATCAAGACCCTATCTTGATAACTTGACCCTAAAAAAAGCAAAATAAGGGTAAGGGCAGGGGTGCATATCCGTGGTATCAGCCACCCCCTCCACCCCCGAAATAAAGGCAGAAGGATCACAAGTTTCAGGCCAGCCAGGGTTACATGGTAAGACCCTGTCTTAAACAAGCATCTCATCCCAATTCCTGCTAGACTGGCGTCCTACTGCACCATGTCTTGTGCCCATCAGTGTGAAGTATACATGGTGGGGAGTATACATGGTTTAGGTTTAGAAAGAAACCTAAAATTTTAGGACTGGATTCAAGAACACCAGGGAGAGTACTCCTGGGTACACAGTGTGGCCGAGCAAGGTCTGTGTTGCTGCTTACAGCAACCAGACACCACCATGGGTGCACGGAAGCTGAGACAGAGATCCTGGAATGCAGCCTGGCCTGGGTGCAGTGGGGCCCATACAGGAGGTGAGAGGGGGCTGATGAGACCTCCCCACCCTCCCATGGCTCTGGTGCTAACACAGAAACAACGAGTCAGGCTGTGGTCTTCTGTGGACACTGGGAACCCCGAGCGGTGGCACCTTGGCACAGCCTACCTGGAAAAGGATCTGCAGCACCCCATGAAGAATGCACATCCGGCGCCCGAGGAACAGGAAGAAAGGCACAAGAAGCTCCACGAAGTGGTTGCTGAGTGTCTCAAAGCGATGGAACCACCAGGGCGACCTGTGCAGGTAGTAGGCCATTGGGTTGGGCACTGGCTGAGTCTGTGGGGACAAAAGAGGGCTTTTGAATTACCAACCTTGGCTTACCAGGGTGCCACTGCCTGCCTGGCTATGATTAAACCATCTGCTCTCCAGCCCTGTGTATGTGCAACTGGCCCAGCCCATGCAGGCTGGAAGACTTCTGTGGACAGGCTATTTTTGAAGCAAAAAGCATGTTTTTAGTTCTGTTTTAAACCCTCACTCTCTATAGGCAAAAATGTAAACGGTAGTTGAAGGAGACATCTCTGAACACTGGTGAACAGATGAAGAATCTAAAGATCAGGAACCAGCCTGCTGCCCCTAAGCACCAGCGGAACTGTAGGTGGCAGCTGCTGCCTGGGGCTCACAGCTCCCTGAGCTGCCAGTGGCCTGTCACCCGGTACTTACAGTCCACCTCAGGTCTCCTACCCACCGCTGGGCTCCATGGGCCCTGGGGTGCTCTTGCCCTCTTGGGGGCTCCTGCAGATCTATGCAGGCTTGTTGCATAGGAAGAAGGCTTGAGCATAGGCAACTGGGGGCAGGGGATAAAGGTCACAGTAGCAGTGGCCCTGAACAAACAGGAGCAGAAAGCAAAGGAGGCAGAGAGGGAGCTGGAATGATGCTCGGACGATAGCTTTGTACTTCGCTTCTTCTTAGGCACAGTCCCCTTGGGATTTCACCTTGGCTAGGGGTACTTAAGGAGCCCACTTGTCAACTCACTGTGTCTTCATAGGCCCTGCCAGAACACCTCCCCTCAAGGCCTGGGCTCCTACATGTGCCTCGCTCCACCCCACACGGGGAGCCTGCTACTTGAACCCTCCATGTGATCGCAAGAAAAATAAACAGCTTAGTAGGACAGGACAGAAGCCAAGCTTTTCATTTAGCAATGCTTCAGACCACCCTCTACCTAGCTCCGTGTGGGGCGTCACCTCCCCTCTTTTAACTGCTTGCCAACAGAATAAGCAACTGGTCTAAGCAAAGTGACCCAGTAGTGCTGTGCCAAGAGACAGAGGCCATTGCAAGATTTTAGTCTGCCAGACCCAACCTTCTCCTCAAAACACACTTGGCTTGCTGCCACCACCCTGGGCTGCACCTGCAGCTCTTGTCACTGTCCCCTGTTGGGCAGATTCTGGGTATTAGTGTCAAATCCCACATCCCTTGGACTTGAAGACTCTGTGTCCTGATTGGAGATGCCATTTGCAGAGGATGGAGCAGCTCAGCACTTCACCTACCACTGGTCTGTGTCACAGCCTCCGGACCCTCAAAGATCCCAGATGACCCAGCAGGATAGGGACACAGAAGATGTGTGTGTGTGTGTGTGTGTGTGTGTGTGTGTGTGTTTGAACATGGCTACATACATACTGGGCAAAGGAGTACGAAACTGGGGAAGACATCCATCAGCTTGGTAGGGAACAGCACATGCAAAGTCACTGTGCTTCAGATTTGCACAATGTCCACCAGCTTGTAGGACAATGTGCTACAAAGGGAAACACCAAGACTCAGGCATTGACCTCAGCTCAGCAAGGGGCCTATGTAAGCTCAGTGAGGCGGTGGCTGAGGGACCAGAAAGTGAGCTCTCCAGGGAGAAGCCCTCCACCCCAGTGCTCATGGGCTTTCCTATACCAGAGAAAAAAATGACAGTAGAGTGCAGAAGGCAGCGGTAGTGGGCGGTGACTACCAGCCTTCTTGTAAAGGTGGGTCATTCAGGTTTCTGAAGGCTGCATCTCTGCTGAAGGTATTCTGGGGGAGCACAGCCTTCCTTGATCTGTGGGCCAGGCCCTGAGTGTCCAGCAGGGTCTGTTCTGTGAGCTGAAGCCTCAAGGCACAGAGCCACAGGATCGCAGAGGAGGGCTGTAGCCTCGGGGCTCACTGTGCCAGGGACAAGGCTCATTTCTGTTTTCATGAGAGCTGTGGAGTGGGTAAGTGTGACTGCGGTGGGGGCGGCAACATCGCACCCCATAAAGCACAAGAGAGCACCAGGAGTTGCTGACACCGCAGCCCTGCTGGAGGCCCAGCTTGATGGCTCGTTAGACAGCAGTGACGAAGTGTCTGGACAGGCACCGTGTAGTCCACACCCTGGACCACAGTTTACAAATATGCTCTACAAAGAGAAAACCACGAGGAAGCATGGAGGGTCAGGACACCTAGTTGGGGATCTGGGGTGTGGCACGTCTTGGGGAGACACAGGTCTGCAACTGGTCTTGAACTGGTCCCTGCTGAGAACGGCCAAAGGACAGAACAGCCTGGCCCTCCCTCCAGAGACAGAAGACCGCAAGCTTGGGGTCAACTGTGAAGGGAACATCCTATTGCCATTCTGAGGACAAATTTCTTAACTCTCAAGTGCCACATGTTAACCTGATCACTGAAGACCCCGCCCTGCTACAGTCCTCACCACAGGACAGTCTCTGGCCATCTGTGAACTGGCCCTACCTGAAGCACAAAGGAAGGTGGTACATGTATGCCCAAGGCAGGTCCAAACCTCAGCACCCAATGGGGAATGTGGAGGTAACGGTGCCAACTTCCTCACATTGGCAGTGAGGGCTCAGCACAAACAAGGCCACCATGATCCAGGAGCAGAGCAGACTAGCAGCCTGTGGATCGTGGTAATTGGCTCTTGGAGACTGAGACCCAACATGGTGGTCACTTCCGGGAAGGGGAGAAAGGTCTGGAAGCTGTGCCATGGGTGCCCTGCTGGCTGCTTCCCACGTCCCATGGTGACTGGAGGTGAAGAGAAGAAAATGCAAAAAGTAAAGGTGCTCACATAAGGATGGCCACTGGGATGACCAGCGTGACTGCTATGAACCAGACGAGGCAATGCGGTTTCCTCTGTGGTAACCTGTACCACAGAGGATGGCCACCAGCAGAACCTCACTACATGTGCACCCAATGGATCATCTGAGAAAAGGGTCTGTGTCTCCTCTCCTCCAGCCCCAGCTGGCCACAGGACTGGTCTTCATCAAAAGAACAGAGGCAAGAGATATCTAATGGCCTCATGAAGCTAGGTTCACAAAACAGTCCCTCCATGAGGAAGGATAGTCCCCTGTGAGAAGAGAAAGGCCATGACACTGTGCAGAAGGTCATCTTGCTGTGTGGACAGCCACATGTTGCAGCACTGATGTTCTGAGGAAAAGTGGAGACCTTCCCCTGATGTGTGGGTGGGCCCTGCCTTACAGAGTGCGAAGCCGAACCTTGCAGAACCTCGAGCTTCGAGTCACGGGACACTCAAAGCCTGACACAAGGAAGAAGAAAGATCGCTTCAAATTCGAAAGTTGATGTGATTGTAGCAGGTCTACCATCCCACTGTTTGTTTTCCACACAAGAAACACATGCATTTTAAAAGCCATTAGTCTAAAAGCTAGCATTACTGGAACTTTGGCTTGTGATCCTATGTTCTGTTTTCGTATAAATTGACACTAACACATTTAAAATGCTGTTAGCTCAATCTTTGGATTCAAATGTATAAAGATATGATTCTGAGGCATCAACAACCGAGCGGAGCAGGTACAGGGCACAAGGGAGCAGGATGTTCACTTGTATGCTATTGTGTAAGGCGAAGCTGGTATAAACCGCTTCGGGATGCTCTGTATAATTCCCATGGAAACTGCAAAGCAATGCAGAAATCACACAAAAGGTAACAGGAGGGAATTTACATTTACGCCATTTAAAAAGCACACGACAGCTTTAGCAGCACAAGAGTCTGAAGAGGAAAAGGGTGTGTATCTGAAGACAGCAGTGGAAGCCGAGATGAAGCCAAACATAAAGAAAATCACCAGTGACCCGAGGGACAACTTCAGGCGGTATAACACATGTGTAATCCGAGTCCCAGGAGAGAGAGTACACAAAACATTTTTCAAATGTGATGAAACCCACAAACCCATAGATCCAAGAAACTCAGCCGACCTCAAGCGTAAGAAACAGGAAGAAAATGACTCCACCCTAATCAAACTGTTCAAGATTCGTGATAAAGAGTAAAGAAACAGAATGAAGATGTGTTAGAGATGCAGACGAGGATGCCTCAGGGGGAATGACGCAAGTGAGGAGACACAGAACATCCTGAGGGCTCTAGCCTGTCAGCCTAGAGTTCTGAACTAAGGGGGAGATAAAGACTTCATCAGGCAGCACGCTGAGGGCTTCCGTCTCCTACAAGCCACACTATGAGAGAGTGAAGGAAGCTGTGAGGGGGAAGTGGGGGAGTCTGCAAGTCAACTGATGAGCGGAGGGGCTGCCTTCTACTTTATCTTTAAAATTATTTTATTATTAGTGTGTGTGTGTGTGTGTGTGTGTGTGTGTGTGTACCAGAGTGCATATGTGAAGGCTGACGGCAACTTTCTGGAGTCAGTTCTCTCCTACCACTGTGGGTTTTGGGGATCAGACTCAGATCAGAAGGCTTGCTTGGCTGGTGCTTTTCACCTGTTGAGCCATCTCTCTGGCCCTTAATTAAATATCTTTAAAAGATGTAAACTTCAAACAACATATAGTTTACAACGTATAGACGTGAACAGTATGACAACAGCAGCAGGCAGTGGGGTGCTGGTAGAAGACTGTGGTAAAGTTGCTCAGAAGTGTTAAAATAGTATTACTTGAAGGTGAATCAAGGTCACCAAGTCACTCATGATTATGTCTTATATACACATACGTGTGTGTGTGTATGCCTGTGTGCAGTGCAAACACACACACACACACACACACACACACACACACACACACACACAGAGTACATAGTATATATCCTAAAAGGACCACAAAAATAAAATAGCAAAAAGTGACACAAAGTTACAGCTAAACGAGGTAAACCATGAATAAGCAACCAAATGAACAAAGAGTTACACAGAGTTATAGCTAGTAAAAAAAAAAAAAAAAAAAAAAAAAGGAAAAAGCCAAGAAAAAAATAAAAAAAACCAAAAAAAAGAAAAAAAAAAATAAAAAAAAAAAAAAAAAAAGATAGTAGGAAGAGAAAACAAACAGTAAGACGACGGACTGTCCCAGAGCACGGTGTGGGGCGAAGCAGTGTGAGCTCGGGGAAG